TAGCTCTCTGGTAATATGAATTATTCGATATCATATATAGCTCTCTTACGATATACGATAATACTTTGAACGGGAATAAACTATGTAGCTTACAGTGATATATTCTTTGCATGGTGGTATATATCCATCATATCATTGTAATTGGTAGATCCTAAAAGTGTATCATGAAATGGAAAATATAATCCTGTAGATTAAAATAAATATATATATATAATGTATGCTGATATATAAAATTCATGTGATGACTTATTTTGTAAAGTAACTTGTAGATAAATGCAAGTCATAAAGATTTGAACTAAATGACAGATAGGAACCCTGTTATCACTTGTTATCAGATATCAAATATAGAGGTTTTATAATGTCGGTATTATTGGTTCAATTGGCACGAGAGTCATGGGACAAGCATTGAAATAGATTAATTGAACCATGATTAGGGATTTTTTTTAGGTGCCCAACTTTTAATGCAAGTATTTTTGAATTTGTCCTTAATCTTAATCAAACCCGAATCGTTTGAAGCTTTCATAATACCTACTCTCTAACTACATTGAGCTTTAAATCGAATTAAATTTTCAACTGTAGGCCTATACCATTTGTCTTAGAACGTCTTCGGGTCTTGGAAATATAAGGTTCAGTGATTTTACATTTGAAATAGACACTGTGCTCCCAGAAAATTCTCGCGAAAATGACCTACTTTTTGGTCTGAAAATTCCCCTCAGTAATATGTTTACAAATAATTTTGAATTTTGAATTTGAAATTTGAATATTGAATATTGAATATTGAATATTGAATATTGAATATTGAATATTGAATTTCGAATTTCGAATTTCGAATTTGAAATTTGAATTTCGAATTTGAAAAAATAATATAGAATTTTGAATTTTGAATTTTGATTTTTGAATTTTGAATTTGAAATTTGAATTTGTAAAAATAATTTTGAATTTGAAAAAAATAATTTTGAATTTGAAAAAAAAATAGTTTCTAATTTATTTTTTATTTTTTGTGATTGTGAGAAAAGGGCTATATAAACAAGCCTGGTCACTCTGAGCATTGGTTTCTTATAGAGACTACATTTTATTAAGCGGCTGCATCGCCTCTTGTAGCTGGCAGCCAAACTTCGGAAAGGCCATATCCGGTCCCTTAACTGCCTTGAATAAAACGTCGAAAATTAACGATTACAATATATAACTCTATCCTCATGTGGTCATGACAATCAAATTTGCGGCACTGTGGGATCTTGGGGTGGGTCGGACGTGATGCACTAATGGTAAAAAGGGGCCGGGTAATATCACCATGAAATATGTTGCATGTGCCTGTAAAAAAGCAAGATTTCAGATTCTTGAAAAGCATAGGTAGTTTTGCATGAATTGGGTTTAATTCATCACTTTCCCAACTAATACCAGCTCACAAAATGTGTTACATAACTGTTCATGTTCGGGGAATTGAAACACAAGGTCAATGAGTCAAGGCAATTTTCTGGATGACATTTCTGGCAGGGAAGTGTGTTTCTGATTACGGAAATATTCCAAATTGATTAGTGATTTAAAGCTGATATATGAATTTGCTTTGACAAAATCGACAATTTCGATTTACCGACCACATGACAAAATGAATTGAAATGAAATGGAGTTTTACGTCCTACTTTTTTCACCCTTTCAGGCTAATGATGCAAGGCCATGGCCATACAGTGTGCAATAAGAGAAATTTTGCCAGGATAGCAGCATTAATTTTCTCTTATTTTCGATTTGCATCTTGCACAACCCTCGGTTTAATGTCCCATCCGCACAACTAGACGCCTTTTCCTCGCAGCCAGGGACAGCGGGTTGAAAAATCCGAAGGTATCCATGCCGGGATGGAACCCTGGACCTTCAGATTAGCAAAAACACCTCTAACATACTGAGCCAACGCGATTGTTATATGGACGTAGTACTTGAGTTTTAAACAGTTTTATTCAAAGCAATTAAGGGACCGGGCATTGGCTTTCCGAAGTTTGGCATCCAGCCGCAAGAGGCGATGCAGTCGCTTAATAAAATTGGCGTCTCCATAGAAAACCGTTTCAGTCAGAGTGACCAGGCTCGTTTGTATAGTATATATGGTCTTGAATACACCAGTCACTAAAATAGAAAATATATTAGAAATTATTTTTTTCAAATTCGAAATTATTTTTTCAAATTCAAAATTATTTTTTCAAATTTAATATTAAGATTTCAAATTCAATATTAAATTTTCAATTTCGAAATTAAGATTTCAAATTCAATATTTTTTTTTTCAAATTAGAAATTCAAAAATACCAAATCATGTCGTATTTGAGCTTCCATAGTTTAATCAGAGAGTAATTAGTAGGCTCCATATCTATCGGATCATTACCGTCTTTGCAATTTCGTTGGTAAATCGAAATTTGTTGATTTTTTATACAGATAATTTAAATATTCTTTTTTAATACATAAAATTCTTCTAAAAGAATAAATTTATTAATAACAAGCCAGGGAATGCAAGCGAAAATAAAAAAATAAAACTAGAAATCATGATATTCGATTGGCTACTGCACATGTGACCTTGACTTATGACCTGTAATTAATGTAATCCAAAATGGAGGCGATGTGAAGAAAAATCCGGTGTAGTTGTATAGTACAACATGGTGAGTACCGGTCATAACTTTATGATGTGAAATCACTTCTGTGAAAAGTTATGGATTCATTCCATCTCATCATATTTTAAGATTGGACATTGATTTCATTGAAAACAAGACTTGTTACCTTCACGAACAAACGTGCATGTGATGTGAATGTGGTATCGGTAGGCTAAGTAACAACAGTAGATCTACTGGTAAAGTAAAACATATGCTGTTGAATGACTTTCAATGTCAGAAATTGAAACTGCCCATTGGCCTAAATTGAATTTGCGAAAAAGCTATGTATTAACCATCCTCGATATTCAGTGATGTCTTCAATTTAAAGCCAAAACTGCACAAGAAGGACCAAAATGCAGATATCGTAGGCTTCAGATCGTTAATGAATATTGATAAGATACACACATTGTCATTGACTAAGATCCTGTTAAAAACATTTTGTTAGATCACATTATTCAAGATATATCTGCCGTGTCCATATTTCGATTTTGATACAAGTGTCAACTGTATGGTAGATATGGTAGGCCTATTTAGTATGCTACTAAATATATATTAAGCTTTTTTTTTTTTATTAAAATACCCCATGCTGCATTTTTGAAAAAAAGATCTTTATTCAAAAGAGCTAATCTTGTGTATTTTTGACTTGATATAAGCTTAAAACATTAATAAGTGGAATAGCAGTGATCTGTGTTGGTTACTTTGATGCTAGTAGAACAGATAATTTCAGATTATTATGATTTATCAAAGGACCATTCTGGGTTTTTTTTTCATAGGTTGAAAAAATCATTGTACCCTGAATGGCATTGCCCGTCTTCATTAGCCCACATGGTGCAGAAAAGTAGGATGTAAAACTCCATTCATTTCATTTAATTTTTCAAATTTATGAAAACTATATCAAAAAATCTATAGAGAAAATTGTCCCTAGCCTGGAAAAACCTGCCATTGATTTTTTAACACTAAAACTATTTGAAATGTAAACTTTTAAGCACTGGTACGTTATGCATTTTGGTAATATTGAGTGTTTATGAGGCCCGACCCCAAAACTGGTTTAAGCTGCTTACCGGTACTTAATAGTACACTTCGACTATTAGGCCTTTTAAAACTTATTCAGTTTGATCAAGTAGATATATAGATGTAAATAAGCTTATAGCACATTTTTGAAAAATATATATTATTAAATAATAATGAAAATTTGGCATACTGCCCCTTTAATTATTTACCTGTAATCCATCCAGATTGACCAGTAGTCACATGATTCTGGTAGTAATAGACGTGACATTTATAAATACCTCAGATAAAAACAACAACTTTGTAAGATTTCAAATAATTGGTAAACTTATAGTAATAGTAAGTGTCAGATGTATCTCTAATATGGCTCTTAAATTATGGACTATATTCAGGTTGCAATATATCATAATCATATGACAAACCAGAGGTACAGCAATTGATAATTTGATGAAGATTGTGCTGAAGTGGGCCATGGTATCTATTATCAAACTATTTGATGGCTAATCATGAATAACCTAGTAAGAATAGTTAAATATAGTTCACTCTCAGTGGGATACAGTGGAAAAATAACTTTATTTCTCATATTTTTAATAAACAATTAACTATTTCCTTATGGATATCAATTAACTGGTTAAAGGTGAACGTCATCTAAGGATTTATTTTGTTTACATATGGAGAGGAAATTTTTAACTAATTTATCCTAATTGCCTGTATCATAACTCAGTTTATTGTGGTAGTAGATAGAAATGATAATATTATTTTGTAATGAGTTGAATAGTGAAGGTCATCTTTTGTTGTCAACTTTTCAGCCAATGGTCTTGGTCTTTCACCAAACAATCTTAAATTAAGATTTTTTTGTCCAATTTATATTTTTATCCTATGTGTTTAAGCGAAACATTCACTAGATGTTTTAAGTAGAACCTGTATCACTGTTTTAGGAAAGTGGAATACTTGTGTAAAGGTATAAGCTTATTATAATTGATTACCTTTCTAAAGGCTATGACTGTTTCTCATAATGATCCTAGGAACAGTTTCTGGGAAATTAAACTTAAGATTGTTTTAAAATGTTCTAGTTATCTGATTTCTCAATCACCAAAATCTATTTTAAATTTAGTTGTACCAATCTTCAGATATTGATGCAGATCCTATTTTCAAAATACCAAGTGATAATGAATTTGTTTTAAACTAATAATCGGTATTATGAATATGAATAAACTATTAGATATTACTATAGTAATATATGTTTGGCTAATATTGCTCTGTTATTTTTCAGCAAAATTCTACGATTGAACAACCATCTGTTACATTTCTGTAACCCATGATAATAAATTCCCACCATTTTGGACCATCAAGTTGAAAATGAAAATGTCATTGGCACCTATCATATCAAACAATGCTACAAATGGAACATCTACTCAGATAGATTTTGATAATCTATACCCGGCTATTCTACAATGTTTTGTGATTATTTTATTTGGTTACATTGCTGGAAGAGTTGGCGTCATCACCAGTTCACAAGGGAAAGGGATCGGGGCATTTGTCTCCAAATTCTGCCTGCCAGCTCTGTTATTCCAAAACATGTGTCAACTAAAGTTTTCTGAAGTAAACTGGTATTTTTTGGGAAGTATTGTGATTGCCAAAACCTGTGTGTTCATTATCGTAGCAGTGATTACGTTGGTGGTGAAACGACCTCTAAATTTAGGATGTGCTGGACTCTATGCCATATTCTGTACTCAAAGTAATGATTTTGCTTTGGGCTACCCTATTTGTAAGTGTTTATTTTCTTTATTAGCCAAAAACAATTAGCTGATTTACTGATCAGTATAGATGTTTATTATTACTCTATTATTTATAATTAAATAGGCATTGATATATATTTATATATATATTATTATATGATCAAAGCTAACGGCCCATTGATGAAGTCTACAGAAATAATAAACATAAAGCATATATGATATCTTGATGGGCTGTATTTATTTCTATATATATATATCTAGGATAATGTGACGTATTGATAGTTATAGCTCAATTGTTTTTTTTTTTTTTTTGCGAGAACTTGACTTTCTTAGATATCCTTATGTATCCAAAAGTTGAAGTATATGCAGCCTCCTTATGCCCACTTTTAGACATTATTACATTTTCATCTGTATGTATATGTATGTTTTTTTATTCTACATTCTGGACTAGCAAAGTATATAGGAAGCCTTGATTTCATTTTAAATTGGCTTATCCAAAATATGCTTATAAGCTTCTATGACCTAATTTTTCTTAAGAATTCTTTAGAAATGAAAGTTTCTAACTTGTAATGACATTTTGAGATAAAGCTTCTGACAACAGCCTGATATATATATTATTGTATATTTCAGTACAAGCACTATATTCAGAAACAAACCCCAGTTATCTACAGTATATCTATCTCATAGCACCCATATCACTTGTGTTCTTAAATCCTATTGGTTTTACATTGATGGAAATCCACAACAATCAGCACAACCATAAACATTCTAATAAAGTAGTTATTTTTCATGTGTTCAAAGGAGTTGTCACCAATCCTATTGTATTTATGACAGCTATTGGAATTATAGGAAATGTTGTCTTTAAACAAAAAGTGCCATATATTATAGATGATATTTTACAAGTATTAGGTATGTAATTATTTTGATTATGAAGTCTGTTGAGTTTCCATGAGGTAGAGAATTTTTGATTTGTACATAGTGCCTGTGTGGCAGAATGGAGCTCCAAATGGTTCATGGCATTTCAGTATTTGTTTGTCCATAAAATAAAACAAATCTTGAATGTTTTTATTTTAATATTTAACATCACATATATATGACTTATTGGCTTTGAAGTATTTTTTGGAAATTTGATTGATATTTATTTTCAGGAAATGCATTTAGTGCCAGCGCTTTGTTTTATTTAGGATTAAATCTAGTGGGGAAATTAAAAGGACAACTAGGTATTGCTATGGTTGTACCTATCCTTTTAATTGCTGCCAAGTCGTAAGTACCATTGTTAAGTTTCTTTTATTATCTTTTATATTAAAAATTTTATCATCATAATTGTTACTTTGTCAACAAAGTTTCAATCTACTAACTTTAATGATTATAAAATTGGAAATTCATAGGGACATTCCCCTTGTTTGAGAAAGTTTCCATTATCAAAAATGTAAATTATACCTGAAAATTTTTTCTTATATCTATGTATCTCCTTGATCAACAAGATTTGATTAAAAATCGAGAGTTTTACTTGTTAATTAGGCAGTTTGACCTAGTTTTTGTGTTTGGCTTTATATATAATGGCTTTATATTTACAGCTTTCGACTTGAGTTCGCCGAATTGATTTGGTTATTGTGGGACTTTGCTTTCAGCAAAGTCCCAGTTTGTTATCGAAATGTCCATTCTTTTTTTTTTTTTTTTTTTTTTTTCGTTTCGTCCACACCTTCCCGAGCTTAGACTGCAGTAGTTGCAGCAACGTTTCAAATATCATAGACCTTCTATATAGGCGACGATGTGCATTAATATAAATTGGAACATTTTTGCAAAACCGGAAGTGCCACAGTTCAACATGTGCAAAAAAGTCGAAAAATCGGCTCTAGAAGGCGCATTTTTGCATCGATTTTCTTCGAGTTTTCATTTTTACAATCTACCTGTAATTTCTGACCTGATAGCACTTGAGAAATTACGAAATTCGAAAATTCGTCGCTCACTTTTTTCGATCAAATTTTTCGATTTTTTTGCAACTTTTTTGCTTTTGCATCGATTGACCTGAAATTTTAAATGCAAAGAGACTTCACTAATGTTAATAATATGATACAGTCAAATTTTGTACGTCATTTCCGATTTTCAACAGGAAAGCGACTGAACTTCAAATCTACTTCCGGTTGAATAACTTCCGGTGTAATTTATGTAGGTCAACAAAATTTGGCTGATCTTTAATTTTAAAATAAAATCCAGACCGGAAGTGATACTTTGGCCGCCATATTGAAAAAACACACTTTTGTAAAACTCAAAATGGGGCCTCAGGGTAAAAGTTGATATGCTCAAATTTGATGTGAATGTATTCTGCAATCGATTGCGCAAAAAACATTGGGAGCCGAATTTTGAATTTCGCTTCTGCTTTTTTTGCAACATCCGGTTGAAATTTTTTAAAGCTTTAAATGATCACACCATGTGACCTTGACCTTTGATGACCTTGACCTTCATAGGGT